CATGTCATGGGGTTGTTAACAATTGTCATAGGGCAATATGTGTACTAACTGTTTAATGAGAAACTATTTGTTCTGTAAACCTTCATCTAAAGTACAAAAGAAAAAAAAAAAAGAATTATCTATGTGAGATCAAATAGACAACAGCAACTCAAAAGGTTTAATGGGAAGCCTAGGGGACAGTGAGTTGAAGATAATGGTGATGGAATAATTCAGAAAAGGTTAGTGAGAATAGCAGCACAACTGGAAGAATGTAATTGATGTCACTGAATTGTACATGTAGAAACTTTTGAAATGGTGGTAACTTTGACTATGAATATTTTCACCAAAAAAAAAAAGGTCCTCCAAGTTTGAGAAGGGAGAGTGTTGACGCGTCTTGGGTTGTTAACCAATGTCACAAAACAATATGTGTACTGACTATTTAATGAGGAAACTATTTGTTCTGTAAACCTTCCTCTAAAGTACAATAAAAAATAAAAATAAATAAATAAAATTGCTTTGATGATTATACCCCATAAGTCCTGCTAGTTCAATGTACCAGTCACACCTGTTTACCCTTTAAGAAATCTAGTTTTGTGTATAAATAAGAGCTTAATATATTCATTTTCTATACTCCCTTCTCCCTCCCCCTGCCCCATACTTAATATGCCTTAGATATCCTTCCAAACTGGCACCAACCTATTTCATTCTCTTTACTCGCTTCATTGTATTCCATGGTGTGGCTATATCATTTATTTAGCCCATCTCTTACTGGTCATCATTTGGGTTATCTTTAGATTTTCTGTGTTGTTGTTATTTAAAACAATACTAAAATGAAAATATCTATTCTTTACATATGTAGGAGTCTGTCTATAGGACAAATCACTAACAATGGAACTGATGGTTCAAAGGGCCTTTGCCTTTTTCAATTTTACTAAAAAAACCCAAATGAAATCCACTACGGTCAAGTCGAATCCAACTCATAGTGACCGTATAGGATAGAGTAGAACTGGGACAGAGTAGAACTGCCCCCATAGTGTTTCCAAGGCGATTCCAACTCATAGCGACCCTATAGTACAGAGCAGAACTGCCCCATAGGGTTTCCAAGGCTGTAATCTTTAAAGAAGCAGACTGCCACATTTTTCTCCCTCTGAGCAGCTGGTGGGTTTGAACTGCCAACCTTTAGGTTAGCAGCTAATCTCTCTAACCACTGTGCCACAAGGGTTTCTTTTAATTTTGATAGCTACTGCAAAACTTGTACATCATTCAACTTTGTTATCTTTGCCAGTTGGACAGGTGAATTGTTGCCTCATTGTTTTAATTTGCATTATTTTGAGTAAGTGTGATTGTTTATGTTGATATGTCATTTGTATTTCTTTGTCAGGGCGCTTGCCTGTGTATATTCTTTGTCCCTTTTTCTGTTGGCTTTTTCTCTTTTTTTTTTTTAATTTGGAAGAGTTCTTTATACGATAAATAAATTAGCCCTGTATTTATATATTAAATAAATTAGAACTTTATCAAACATGATGCAAATATAGGTTCCCAGTTTTTCTTTTACCCTTTGGTTTTGGTACGTGTGGCCATAGAAGTTTTAACTTGTATATAATTAATACTTAGTCTTTTTCTTTTATGGCTTCAGGCTTTGGTGTCTTGGTCCAAGAGTTTATATATATATATATATATATACACACACACACACGTATATATATATTTAAACTTGTGATTTCACCTAATACTTTGTGATTTACTTTTTACATTTTAATATTTGACCCATGTGGAATTAATTTTTAAAAATGCATGTGGATCCAGTTTTTTTTTTTTTTTGGTAAATAGCTTCCTAGATATCTCAGTATCACTTATTAGAAGTTTATCTTGTCCCTACCAATTTGAAATGCCACAATGATACAGATTCCCAGATGTATTTGGGTCTGTTTTTTTTATTCTCTACCTCTGTATTCCATTCATTGATTATATGCACATTTGAATATTGTTGTACATTTTAAACTTTTATTTCTGCTTTTTAAATTTTTAACATTATATTATATCACACACATTTTCTGAGAACATTTTCTTTTGCATGGGACCATATCTAAAAGGCCCTCCTAGATAAGTTAGATGTGACATAAACAAACAAAACACAACAAAAAAACATTGCCATTGAGTCAATTTCCAACTCATAGCAACTTATAGGACAAAGTAGAACTGCCCCATAGGGTTTCCAAGGCTGTAAACTTTATGAAAGCAGACTGCCACATCTTTCTCCCTTGGGGCAGTTGTAGGGTTCAAACCGCCAACCTTTCAGTTTGCAGCTAAGCTGCTTAACCACTGCGCCACCAGGTTTCCTTATAGCCTCAAGATAATAAAATAAGATGAATTGTTAAATTTAGTCATTGGTATGGTTGCCTAACTATAGGATACTAAAGCTGATAATAACCTTAGAGTTCGTCAGGCCATTTTGCAGATGAGGAGAGGGTACATTTTATAGGGCAATTGTTCCCAAATAGTGGTCCTTGGACCAGTGCTATGCCAGCTGCAGTTAGAGGTGGGAACGCTGGGATAAGCTAAAGTTTGAGCCTATCTTGAGATAGTCACATTTGCTGAGTTAGAGCTTAGTAAAGCAAGGGTTTACTACAATACTCAGAATAGGATTTCAGTAGTTTCTAATGGACGGAAAAAATATATTTACTAACCAAATGTTGGGTCAGAAATGTGCTTTAGGGATTTGCTTGAGGAGGAAGTGTAGATCCCAGATCTGCCAGAAGAAGGAAATGAACATGAAGGATGGTTATTAAACTGAAGCACTGTCACCCAAACCCACTGCTGTCGAGTCGATTCCGACTCATTGCCACCCTATAAGACAGAGTAGAACCGTCCCATAGAGTTTCCACGGGGCGCCTGGTGGATTCAAACTGCTGACCTTTTGGTTAGCAGCCACAGCACTTAACCACTAGGCCATCAAGGTTTCAGGTCCAGGGCCCTGCAGTGCTTCTGAAGCACCAAGCCCGGATTTGGGATTAGGGAAGTGCCCCCACAGCAGGAGGCCGGGGAAGTAGCTCCCTCTGGTGGTGGTTGGCAGGCAGCGCTGCACTTGCTGTGCTGGGCAGGTACTGTCTTCCGCAATCTCTGTTTTTCTTGGGATGCAGATGTCTCAGAGAAGTTAGGAGGATGGGTAGGGAGAGAGGGATGATGTTATGACCTTGCTCACTGTGGAAAGAGGAATGGCCCAACAGGAGGAAGCAGAGAGAACACCAGGGAAGGCCAAAGGGGAAAATGCAGGAAAAGGAATGAAATGCTCTGCCCCAAATATGGCTAAATGGTTTTTTCTTATCTGCCCCAACACACATGCACGCTCACATTTCTGAGGCCTGGCACCCTCCACCTCTATTCCTGACACCTGGTTCAGGTCTAAACTTGGTGTAACAGGTCTTAATGGGCCTCAAGGCAGAGAAGGAGACAGGTTCTCTTAACATATCTCAGCATAAGAACACAGAGATCTGTGCTAAGAGAGGCCCATCTACAGAGACAAGGCAGGAAGAGAAAGGTTAAAAGAGGTCAGGTGTTCTTGGGGGAGCGAGAAGAGAGGACAGCTCCTGAGAGAGGTATTTGCTCCCTGATGAAAGGAGTGGATCTGTGAAGGACCCAGGGAGCCTACATAGAAAGACCCAGGCCCAGTGAAGAACTACCAGTTGCTGCCGAATTGACTCATAGCAACCCCATGTGTATCAGAGTAAAACTGTGCTCCATAGGGTTTTCAATGGCTAATTTTTTGAAGTGTATCTCCAGGCCTTTCTTCTGAGGCACCTTGGTGAACTTGAACTGTCAACCTTTTGGTTAGCAGAGGAGAACCTTAACCATTTGCATCACTCAGGGACTCCAGTGAAGAACTAAGAAGGAAGAAAACAAACTGGGAGCCCTTTATGCATGAGAAGATATTAAACCTAAACTAAAAAACTGTTTTTGTACATTCTTCTGGACTTTGTGTGACAGACTGGCCTGTAATAAACTGGTTTCATAACGGACTGACCTTTCACACTTCCACTATGTGGAATTTGAGGTCAAGACTGTTTCTTGCTCCTCACCATATCTTCAGGACTTGTGCTTCAAACAAAATAGAATCTTATTAAATTCTTGTGAGTTGGAATTGACTTGATGGGAACAGGTTTGGCTTTTTTTTTTTTTTTTTTACATGAACAACTGCAAGAATTAATGGATGGATGATTCGTCTGTACTTCGGCATCTGTTATGGCCCCTGTATACAATAAGAACTCAGTCCATCACTGGTGAATGAGTGAATGACCTCTTAGGAGCCCAGATTGGTGGTTTGTAGGTTAGCTGCAAGCTGAAAGATCTTGCATAAAGTTTTACCTAGGTTGAACCACCTGTGGGAACTTTGCTCAAATACAGGATGTGGTTGAGAGCTTCTTGCCTTCCTGTTTTCAAGGATGGGGGCTGGGGACTGAAAGTGCCTCTAATTTGTTAGTCAGTCCTGAGCAAGGGCTGCCAGACCTACAGAATCGAGAGTCGGGGGAGGAAGAAGGAAGAGAGGAGGTGAGTATCAGCCAGAGATGAGAACAAAGCTATCCTCAGGGGCTCATGCTACAGAAGATGGCTCTATATTTTGATGAATCTCATTTGCCAAGGTGCTGCTGTTCACCACACACTTTCACAGACACAGTCCAATCTTACTGCATGCTGGTGGAAGGGCCTTTGGAATCAATCTGAAGCAGATGTCAGTGTGGAGAGAATCAGAAAGCCCATCTTACTTGCTCTCGATGGGGTAAGTGGGTCTCCCAAACCAAAACCACTGCTGTCAAGTCAGTTCTAACTAACAGTGACCTTTTAGGGTTTCCAAGGCTATAAATCTTTACAGAAGCTGACTGCCACATCTTTCTTCCAGATTAAGTCTCAGTTCCTCTTAAATGTCTGATGTATTTGCGTCTGAAAGACCCTTTCCAGCTAGTCTGAGTGGAGCATAGAAGGTATTGGAAGCGAGTTGGCAAAGAACACTTATCAAAGAATAAAGCACCACGAGGGAGCTGAAAGCTAAACAACCACTAGAGCTTGCATGGTGCTAGGAGACATTCAATTTAAGACCAGTCAGAGTAGAAAGTCCTTCTTGAGAAACTGAGAAATTTAAGCAGGACCTCAGGAGGATTAAACCTTAGTACAGGAGTCCTTGGGTAGTACAGTTAACACACTTGGCTGCTAACTGAAAGACTGGAGGTTCAAGTTCACCCAGAGGCACCTTGGAGGAAAGCCTGGTGATCTAGTTCCAAAAAGTCTGCCATTGAAAACTCTATGGAGCACAAGACTACTGTGACATACGTGGCGTCACCATGAGCTGGAATCTACTTTTACACTACCTCTAAAGTAAAGAAGACTCTAGACCTGACCTAACAATCTCAAACACTAGCTCCAAAATGCTTAAGTTAAAAACTAATTTGCACTGTAAACTTTCACCTAAAGCACAATTAAAAAACTAAAAAAAAAAAAGAAAAGTTCAAGTTGATCTGCAAGTAAATTAACTGCTCGCTAGGAAAAACTTTATCACTCTTTAAAGGATGATGTTATGAATTGAATTGTGTCCCCCAAAAATGTGTGTCAACTTGGCTAGGCCATGATTCCCAGTATTGTGTGGATGTCCTCCATTTTGTGACCTGATGTAATTTTCCTCTGTGTTGTAAATCCTAATCTCTGACTGTGGTTAATGAGGCAAGATTAGGTTATGTTAAAAAGGGTTTGGTTGGGATGCAACACCCTTACTCAGGTCACAGTCCTGATCAGATATAAGGGGTGTGGCCTGCATCATCTTTTGTCTCACAAGAGATTAAAGGAGTGAGAAGTAAGCAGAGAGACAAGGGACCTCATGCCACCAAGAAAGTAACACTAGGAGGGAACATGTCTTTTGGACTCGGGGTCCCTGTGCTAAGAAGCTCCTAGACCAGGGGAAGATTGATGACAAAGACCTTCCTCCAGAGCCGACAAAGAGAGACAGCCTTCCCCTGGAGCCGGTGCCCCAAATTCAGACTTCTAGCCTTCCAGACTGTGAGAGAATGAACTTCTGTTTGTTAAAGTCATCCACTTGTGGTATTTCTATTATAGCAGCACTAGATAACTAAGACGGATGACAACAACATCTAAACATTTGATACATAACATTCACAATGTTCAACATCCAATAAAAAATTACTAGATATGAAAAGAAACAGGAAAATGTGATCCATAACTAGGAGAAAAATGTGTCAATTGAAACAGATCCAGAATAACAGAGATTTACATACAAGAGCTTTGAAGCAGCTATTATAAATATGTCCAAAGGTTTAAAAGAAAACATGAATATAATGAAGTGAGAAATAAAAGCCATAAAAAAATGGAGCTTCCTTATAGCTCAGTAATGAAGTCACTCTTGAGGTTCACCTTTCAGCCAAAGATTAGACAGATCCATAAAACAAAACAAGACTAAATGGGCACACCAGCCCAGGGGCAAGGACGACAAGGCAAAAGGGGACAGGAAAGCTGGTAATACAGAACCCAGGGTGGAGAAGGGGAGAGTGTTGACATGTGGTGGGGTTGGCAACCAATGTCACAAAACATTGTGTGTATTAGTTGTTTAATGAGAAACTTGTTTGCTCTGTAAACCTTCATCTAAAGTACAAATTTAAAAAAAGTTGTACATCTGTAAAAAGTTGAATTGGCAAAAGTTGTGTGATTGATATATTTACAACAATGACAAAAAAAAAGAGTAGCTGCTGAGTCTGCTTATTTACAACCAAAAACCTCAAGGGATCTGGTTTCTTGGTTTGGAGGTTTAGGGTCATGGCTTCATGGGACTTCCCAGTTAACTGGCCTAATAACATGTTTAGTGCTTCTGTTCTATCTCCTAGTTTGTTGCATAGAGCCTGGGGTCTTAAAAGCTTGCAAGCAGCCATCCAAGGCACAATTGGTCCCTCTTCACATGGAACAACAAAGGAAGAAGGAGAGTCAGGAATAGAAGGAGAATATGGAATGTGTGACTAATTGCCTCCATGAACAACTGCCTCCTTTGCCAAGAGACCAGATGAACTGGATGGTGCCCAGCTATCATTGCTGAACATTTTGATCAAAGATTCCATAGAAGAATCCTGATTGAAAGGTGGAAAATACAGAACAGAATTTCAAATTCTCATGGACTCAAGACTTCGTGGAGCCATGAAGGCTGGATGAACCCCTGAAACTATTGCCCTGAGATAATCTTTAAACCTCAAACTAAAAATATACCCTGAAGTCTTCTTAAAACCAAACAACAGTCTAGCTTAACTAGTAAAAAAATGTCTGTCTTGAGCATTATACTCTTTTAAGAACTATCTATACGGGATCAAATTGACAACAGCATCTCAAAAGATTAGATATAAACCTTAGGGGGCAGTAAATTTATATTATTGAGGAAGGAACACCTCAGAAAAGGAGGATGAGAATGATTATACAACTGGAAGAAAGTAATCAATGTCACTAAATGGTACATGCAGAAACTGTTGAATTGGTGTATGTTTTGCTGTGTATATTCTCAACAACAACAACATAAATAAAATTTTTTAAAAAAGAAGCTTCAAGCGCTGAAAAATCCAATATTTAAAATGAAAAATTTACTGGATGGGCTTAACAATAGATTAAATCCTGCAGAAGACTGTATCAGTGAACTTGAAGACAGAGTAATAGAAGCTATCTACACCATAGAAAACGAGAGGAATAAAAGGCTAGAATAGAAAAAATGAACAGAGTCTCAGTGATCTTTGGGGCAATATCAGGAGGTCCAATATACTCATATAACTGGAGTCCCAGAAAAAATTCGTGGAACTAAAGTAAAAGTATATCACTTCACTTAATCCTCACAACAACTCAATAAAGTAGGTGCTATTATTATGGTCCTTTAACAGCAGAAAAACCTGAGACTCGGAAAGGTTATTGTACAAATAATAAATGGCAAGACCAGGATTTGAATCCACTGTGGAGCTAAATCACATAGATGCCCTGTAAGTCATTTTAAGGACTTTGGCTTCTACTCTGAATAACATGGGAAACCATTGTAGGGTTTTGATCAGAGAAGTGATACTATCTGACTTAGATTTTAATTGGATCATTCTGGCTGCTGGGTTGAAAATAGGCAGAAGAGGGAAGGGATAGACACATATGGTCCCATTAGGAGAATTCTGCAATATTCTGGGTGAGAGATAATGTGGCTTAGACCAGATTGATGACAGGAGGAACAGTGAGAAGTGATTGAAATATAGATCATATTTTGATGATAGAATGGGCTAGATTTGTTGATGCACAAGATTTGGAATCAAGAGTGTTGCCAAGATGTATGGCCTGAGCCATTAACTGTTTCCTGAGGGCAAGTACTAAGTATCAGTTAGGACTGCATTTAGGTTATGTATACATAACAGAAAACCCAACTACAATGACTTAAACAAATGGAGGTTTATTTGTTTCACATAACTGGTTAGACCAAGGCTGGTTGCTCAGCTGCTCAAAGTTGCCACTGGTATTCCTGACTCTTGCTATCTTTCTGTTAAACCATACTGTAACAGATTGTTTGTCCTTTTTCTTTTGCCTCATGGTCCCAAGATGGCTGTATTTCAGAAAAGAAAAAATGACAAAGGGACAAAAGTGGCCCTGCCAGTTGAGTTGCTTTCTTTTTACCCAGAAAGTAAAAGCTTTCCTAGAAGCTACAACCAGAAAACTTCCCCTTATACTTCATTGGCTAGAATTAGGTCATGTAACCAAATTAAGAAGAATAAGATTACTATGTTCTTGTTTAGGCAAATTACAATTCATTTCTCATGGCCAGGGTAAGGGGTCTCCCCTTCCTAAAGTCAAAAGATTGGAATTCTTTCAGCAGGGAAGAAGTAGCATGGTGGTGGGCTGGTGATGGACAATTTCTACACCTGAAGTTGCCTGTTATTTGGAATTTTGTTGCAAAGTAATTCCCTCCTTCCCTTTTCCATTGTGTCTAGTGCTTGACTTGAGGGGTATATAATAAACACGTATTGATACGATGCCAACACAATGGCACGGTGATTATGGAAGACTTCATAAATAAGCTAATGGAAAGAAGGACATAAAGGGATATGGGGTGGGGGTCATGGTTTCCGGTCATAAATAATGGCCTGTGAAGGGAGCAGTGCACTGGGGACCAGTGAAGTCTGTGCAGAACATGGTGGGCCCAATTGGCTGTCTCGTTCATACTATGTATGGCATCTTGAGAAACAAGGGAAGTGTGGAGTGAAAAACTAATGTATCTCCGAGGGGAAAAAAAGAAAGCATGGTATTTTAAAAGCTAGAGGCAGAATTTCTCTTGGAGAGCTCTTCTTTTTTTTTTAAGCAAAACACTTGGATTGTCACTTATTTCTGAAAAATTAGATCCTAGAAACTGGTCTGAGAGCAAAAATGAAACAAAACTAAATTCCTCTGCAAAATAAAGTAAGAGAATTTTGAGATTCAGCTGGGAGTGCAAGAGGAGTGGGGAAGGGTCCCGGGTAACTGGGAAGGAAAGGAAAAAAAATTAAAATGGACGGGTCCTCACAGCCAGAGGGCATTATGCACTCTCTCCACCTTCCAGGGAAGGGGCCACACAGCTTTCAAGCAGCAGAGCCAGGATTTTAAATGCAGAAATTCCTGACTTAACATCCAGTGTTGTTGCTGCCTGCAGTCTGTTACCCAGACTTAACAGGAAGGAGTTTGGATTTGACCTGGGAGGCAGTTGGTCCGTCATTTACAAACCCTCCCATCTCCATCTACAGAAAGACTTTGAGGTGAGGGCCCATGTGTGAACTGGGGTATCGGGTGCTCTGGCAGGAAGTCCCACAACGACTTTAGGGAACAGGCAGTTTCCTCTGGTTAGTGCTGTGCGTGACTGTTTCACCCTTCCTCAGAACAAGCTGTAAACGACCTTAACCTCCTACCCCTCCTGCAACCAGGCCTCTGTTGCTAGGACAACCAGTACTTTCAACTTCCTGATAAAAAGAGAACCGGTACCTGGGCCTATAGAATACACACAATTTGCATTTGGCTTCCTTAATATATCACCAAATAAAGGAAAGAAAGCAAAACAAAGCGGTTTTTAGTCACATGGCCTGATTCACTCTGGGAATCTGATGCTTATGGTTTCTCATGTATTTACAGTTTGATTGCTGCTCAGCCCTCACACTTCTCGTGCTGTGGTCAGTTAGACGCTGATTACTACTACATTCTGCTTCCTCTCAGCTGCAGGTATGCTAGTGAGCTCTATTGTATATACCCATTGAAGTGTAAAGCAATAATATTAGCTCAAATGTTCAAATTATTCAAAAAATTTTCATATTTAATATCTCCTTTGATCTTCAAAAGAACCGTGTGGGTATGTAGGGTTTGAAAACACCTCTGCAGGCTGAGATGGTATCTCTAACAAGTATGAAGACTTGCTAGAGTAAGACTTAAAGGTGGAGGAGAGGCGGAGAAATGATGAAGCAGGCTGGAGCCCTTTTGGCTCTTAGGAAAGTCTGATAAGGGCTTTTTTTTTTAATTGTTGTAGTTTAAATGAAGTTTATGTTTCAAGTTGGTCTCCCATACAAAATTTTATACATACATTGTTACGTGACCCTAACTGCTCGCCCCATTCTGCGACAGCACACTCCTCCTTGCTGCCCCTGATTCCCCATGTGATAAGGGCATTATTATAGACTGAATTGTGTCCCCTAAAAATATGTGTTGTAGTCCTAACCCCTGTACCTACCTATAAATATGACCCTGCTTGGAAATAGGGGTTTTCCTTTTTATGTTAATGAGGTCATACTGATGTAGCGTGGGTCCTAAACCTAAGCACTTCTAAGTGGTGTCATTAAAAGAGCAGAAAGGATACAGAGATATACAAACAGGGGTAAGACAGATGCCACATAAGGACCTTTCTACAAGCAAAACAATGCCAATGATTGCTGGGAGACACCAGAAACTAGGAGAGTGGCCACATAGAAGGAATCGACATAGCCAAGACCCTGATTTGGACTTTAAGCCTCCAGAACTGTAAGAAAATACATTTCTGTTGTTTAAAGACACCGACTTGTGGTATTTGTGTTATGGGAGCACACGGAAACTAAGACAGGCATCCACCTAAAGCTGAGGCTGGCCCTTACCCCAGTGAGTATGTAACTCCATAGTGCAAGCTCCCTGGGGGCACGGAGTTTGAGTGGCTCTATTCTGCAGCATTCAGTTTCAAGCTAGGTGTTAATATGGTTCAAATAATTAAATAGACATGCAAGAACCTATGTGAGTGTGTATACATAAGTACACACATCTGTGTGCATCCGTCTTTTTAAATAAGACATGAGACATAAGACAAAAGGTTATTCTCTGCAGGAGCCAAAAGGTAAGAAAAGGAGAGCAGTCCTTGAGACCCAAGTGGGGGGCATGATTGTGAGGATGATGCCAATCCTGTCAAACACCTGTCTCTCTTCCCTCCAGGCTTATGCCCACTGCGACCCTGTCCCTTTCTTCCATTTTCTTGGCTTCCGCTACACGCCTTGGTCACTAAGCCGACAGCCCTTATGTGTCACTAAGTTGTTCAGCACTGCTCCTTCCTGGGCTGGGCAGGGGCAAGAGGAGAGAAGGGGAATCATGGTGCATGGGAGGCATACCTTCTTGGGTTTTATCATCAGGGTGGATGTGAACATCTGGGGGTTGGTGGCTTTAATCAGTCAATTAATGAGTGTTGACTGATCTCTTGTGTGTGCCCTGGTGCCAAGTGCTCAATGCTCTCTGTTGTCTTTGCTCATTAAGTGAAAAAACAAACAAACAAACAAACAAAAAACGGGAAAAATAAATAAATGAATGAAGACTTATCCCTCAGGTAGGTCCCTTCTGATATGGATTAAATTGTGTTCCCAACACATATGTGTTGGGATCCTAACCCCTATACCTGTGGATGTAATCCCATTTGGGAATAATTTTTCTTTTTTTTATGTGAATAAGGCCCTATCAGTGTAGGGTGTGCCTTAGACCTAATCACTTCTGAGTAACAATGAGCAATGTAGACACAGAGACAAGCAAGCACACACAGGGGTAGATGTTACATAAGGATCACCAAGGAACCGAGGAATGGAGGGGCTACCGAAGCTGAGACAAGGATCTTCCCCCAGAGCTGACAGAGAGTAGCCCTTCCCCTAGAGCCAGTGCACTGAATTCAGACATCTAGCCTCCTGAACTGTGAGAAAATAAATTTCTGTTCCTTAAAGCCACCGATTTGTGGTATTTCTTTTACAGCAGGACTAGATAACTAAGACAGCTTCCTCAGGCTGAAAGTAGGTGCTTGGATACCTGCCTCCTGGGCTCTGCTCTCGACAGCCACTAACTAGCTATACAATGATGAGGCTTCACTCACTGACTAGCAGGCTCCAAGTTCTCTAGGTGGCGATTTTCCCACTGGTGAGACTGTGCCAGCAGAGGTTCCAGCACTCGGGGACAGAGTGGAGCATGCTAATGCTTCTCATTCTGTTCCTTCTGACTTGACACTCTATAGTTCTAGGTGCTTTCTGTCAGTAAATGACCAAGTATTGTGGTTCGGAAGACAAATGAAAGGCAGACGTGCAAAGAGGATGGAGAATACAAGCAGGCAATAAGGAGATTTCATTGCAATTCAGGTAAGAAGAAGAGAATTTCAATTTAAATTAGTCAGTGAAAATTCTGGCAAGAAGAGAATTCAATTCAAACTAGTCAATTAAAATTCTTGTAGATGACATCTTGGTAAAAGTGCTAGAAAAGGTTACTCTTCACAAAAATAAAAACAGTGATAGAAGATGCACTACATAGCAAGAAAAGATGTGGGCTTGAAAAGTCTTCTTACTATAAGAAGAGTTTGGCTTATTAATTTATGGCTCATCTAGAATGATCCCGGAATTAACGCTCACGCCTTGTGTTCACATCCAGAGTCTCAGACCAAACCCTGATTCTGATTTTTTTTTTTTAAATATTTTATTGTACTTCAGGTGAAGGCTTACAGAACAGATAGTTTCTCATGTAACAGTAGCACACATGCTGTTTTATGACATTGGTTAACAACCCCACAACATTTTAACCCTCTAAATTCTCAACTTTTTTTTTTT